GCTCTTGCTTTACTATCATTCATCTCTTAAAGTATATTTGACAAGTATAGGTTAGGGGTCCCTCATTTATTTTTTTTTTTCTTTAGAGAGATTTTTGCTATAGGGCAAGGGTGCTCATCGGAGAGACAGAGCTACAGAAAGCAAGAAATCATCTCCTGGGCGTGATGGCCATACCATAGCCTCTTCCCCTCCATTCTCTTCTCTAGACTTTAGGCACATGCACACGTGCCTACTGTGAGTTTTAAGCCACTGGGTCTGGGACTTAAACCGTGGTCAACTACATGGGGAGTCCTGCAATGTAATCATTACACCATCTGCTGGTCCCAGAGTTCCCTTCTTTATTCTGTTGTTTTTATCAAAACATTGCCAGTTTATCTATGTATTATAATTGTTATTTATTTTACAGTCACTTCTATTGGAACTTAATTTCTGTGATTGTAGGGCTATCTTTTTTTAAAATTATTTTATTTAACTTTATTTATTATTATTATTTTCACATGAGTTTTGCCAGAGAAAGACCGAGAGAGAGAGAGAGAGAGCGCGAGCGAGCCACCAGGTCCGGGACTCAAACTATGGTCAGCCATGTGGGAATTCCAACACCTTAACCACCACACCACTTGCTGGCCCAAGGGCTATCTCTTTCTTAACTGACCTTGTATCAACATTACTTAGTGCAGTCCCTTTTAGCTGGTGCTTAATAAATATTTATTTGAACGAAAGAATAAATATGTATTGTATCTGATTATATACATGTATACAAAATTTATCATTAGTATACCTAGCACTAATAATTAATATAAAGATCTTACATGGAAAACACTGCATTAAGATGAATAATTATAGACATATACCATGTTCTTGATTGGAAAATCTGAAAATTGTCAAGGTATTAAATCTCCCTGTTGCTATTGATTATTAAAATATTTTAAAATTCAAATACATTCAAATGGATTTTCTTTTTGGAATCATTGAATGACATTGAAATTCATGTGGAAAAAAATGAGAAAAGTGAAGAAAATTTAGAAAAGAAATAAACATTTGTACATGCAGTTAATAAGCTATATCATAAATCTACAGTGCTAAGACAGAGTGATAACAGCATAAGAGTAAAACACAGCATAGTAGAACAGAATTAGAAGCCCAGAAAAACAGATGTAGTGTAGTGTGTCTAGATACTAAGTATAGGATAACATTTAAAGTCAATTGAGAAAGATGGTGGATTATTCATAAAATGATATAGAAATAATCAATGTTTTGGCAATAGAAAATTTGATCTTTATCTCACTATGTACCAAAACATATCATTATGTTTTTTCCTGATATAAAAATTATGTATTTATAATATGCCATCATATACACATGAAGATCTTATTGGGCCATTGGAAAAGTCATGTTGTATTTTTCATGTTTTTCTATGCAAAAATGGGTCAATACTTTTCTGACAATCCAATATAAGCAGTTGTGAATTCTGTGTGCTTTCTAATGTGTTTGCCTCGTGAATTACTTGTATATATCCACCAAAACATTTTGCCCCACTATTTTTTGTTATCAGTATCCTAATTTTGTAAGATGACTAACTTTGAACAAAAGTGTTGTCCATAGACACAAAGGAGAGGAACGATGACCAGATCACCATGTGGTTAACAGCTATTAACCTCGACTCTCATATACTGTGCTATAATCACATGTCGTATATGGTTGTTCAGTATAATGTGTTTACTGTTAGATATTTCTGTCAGCAAAAAAGTGGTTATAATAATATTTGATTTTAAAACATTATGGTAAAATAAGCTATATTGAAATTTAAATTTTAACAGTTTACTCTTCCAATTTTATATGAGCTATGTTTTTAAATAGGGCTGGTATATCAAACATAAAACAGCTGTTTGATTTTGTCTAGGACTCTTAGAGCTAGCTTTTTAATCCATTCTAAGTGTAAGTATATTAATTTTTCTAATTGAATCTTTCAGTGAGCTAACTGTACTTATTATTATACCTGGTAATATTGGTTTCCACAGTTAGTCTACATTGGTCTCATTTTTGTTTTTCCTGTTAGACCTTCAAAGATTTAGTTTTTCTAACATAAGCCACTAGTCCCTTTCAATTTAGGTCTTAAGATATCTATTACTGTATTGTTTTTACAACTGTGTGATTTAGAAGATACATCTTTTTTTATTATTATCATTTCTTCCAAGAGTGAGGCAACTCACTGGGGTCTTCACCCACCATCCACCCTCAGCATCAGCCAGCCTGGGTCATGGGCATATGTACCCATGGCCACAGGGGAGGTCCTGGCACCCAGATCCAGGACCTCCTCGTATAGGTCAAGCTATCTTACTATTTTGCTACTGCTTGGCCCAATATATATTTTTAAAGTTTCTTTGATCATATATTGTAATAAGTTCACTTCAGGTCCTTTTGTACTTGAATGCTTTATTGCTTCTCACCTGGATCTATTGTTGATTTTACAGAGAGAAGAGAAGAGGAAGATTTTGAAGAGAGGAAAGCTATTAAGAAAAAAATTAAAGAACTTAAATTTCTAGATCCTAAAATTGCCCAGAACCTTTGTAAGTATCATATTTCAATACTGTTGAATTATCCAAGCATACTGGGGGTAGTTCCTTTAAATTATTTTGTTTATGACTTCTTTTTCATCTTACGTTATTTTAATTTATTATTTGCATAATAAATTTATAGTTAACTCTCCTTTAGGCAAATTATAGGATTAAACTACTCAAAAAATTAATGCATACTATAAAATAAAAGTACGAAAAGGTATAAAATGAAATTCTATCATAACTAAAACGCAAACTACTCTGTAAAGTCTCTTTTTAAAATATGTAAACAAAGTTTGATGGAATTCAGGTAATGACATCATATTTTAGAAAAAATTGGTAGTTATTACTTTCATACTTTTGAATCTATTATTTGTGACACTTGATAACACAAAGAAGGTTAGAATATTAATGGAAATAAGGACGCAGGGTAAAATGAATTTCATGATCCCATCTCAAAGTACTGACTAGATTTAATTACTGTTACAGGAGCTAAATATTTAGTATTGAGTTGTCCTCCTTACTTAATTACTAGAGAAGAGGGCAAATAGTTTTGCTCCTAACTCATTTCTAACTCTATTTTAAATATATCAAAGATAATTCTACTTGGAACTGAGATAATGCATTCTGTATATATTACTTTCGGGTAGTACAAGAGGGATATAAATAATGTGGAGAATCTAGTGGGATAAGAGTTAGCATAGCTTTTAGTCTGCCTCTCAATTATTACATGCCTCAAGTGAGCTTTTATAAAGTATTGGAACAAAGTAATTCTCCAGTGAGAGGATATAGAACCATGCTATTGATTAAAAGGGAATAATGTTAGAGGCAGTTTGTGTAAGAGACAGGGTTGGCATTCCTTGTATGAAAGTTTTGGAACCTCTTAACATTCACTGTAATGGAGAGCCATCCATTTTCAACAATGTTGGACTGCCAAGATCCCCGAGGGTAGTGGAGAGGTATTTATGCTCTCAGGCAGTATTCGGTTCTCAATTTCTTAGAACAAGTTGACTGCTCTTTCAAGTTAGGTGTCATGGGATATGCATAGGCCAGTGAAAACCTAAGTGGAGGTAATATCGAACTTTGGGGCAGAAGCATTTAATTGGTTATGCGAGAAGCTCCCTTTCCTGGCATCAAGAGTAATAGAGTGGTACCCATCATTGTTACAGAGGATTATAATTGACAGAGCCCTGTCTTTGTGATGTGTGATAAACATATAATATTAATCAGAAATAATTTTTCATGTGTATGCTTAGAACATTGAGATTTTGGGGGTGGTTACATGATCTATATATTATTATAAAGAATTTCTTCCCCTAGAAGAACATTTGTTGCTAGTTCACAGCACTGCACTGTTAACTTTGATAATGACAAAACGCTCTGTAATCTGTGATCTAGAGATGATTTTGTCTATGAGTTGTCTATGACCTGCCTTATAAATTGCTAGTCTTGACTTTAAACATCCTTGTTATGGTTTCTGAAGAAATATATCATTTTGCCTACAGTTCTATCTGAATGGGTCAGCCATGATTTTAGCCTAAATATCCATCTCAAAGTTGAATAACTTGTTGAACAGACTTACTTATTATTTATACATTACGGTACATATACCACATAGGACTTCATGTGTAATTAAATTAGTTAATAACTACTTACTCACTTTGTGTGCTAGTTCTGTAGTCAGCCCTTTAATATTTACTGTAGCCCCACCAAGCAGGCATAAACAATGACAATATAGGCAGAGAGAGAATCTGGTCTAACAGTTGAGTGACTTGAATGAGGCTCCTTAGTTTGAAAATAGCCAGGAGTTATAGGGTGTATCAATTTTTGTTTGTAGATAACAACATCACAGTATTGTCATAGAGAAGGATCCTATTTGTCTTGTTTGCTTTAGCTGATGGCTATATATCCCATCCATTTGTTGAGAAATATGTTTTAAAGTATAATATCAAAAGAGTCAGAATTTATACTATGTCATATTATGGTGTAATCCATTTTAGGATTTTCTTGTCCTCGTTTGATTGTAGCAAGTGTTAGGATTTAAGCTTTAAGAAGCCTTAGCAACCTATAATCTTTACTGTAATTATAGTTTGATTCACAGCTGGTTTTTGTCTATGAAATCGAGGGTCTTGAGATAACTGAATTCTGGAAGAGTTTTGTTAGACAGTTACAACCATTTCTGAATGAGATAAATTGGAGTAAAGCAATGGCTGGTAGTAGAATACTGATGCTAAATCAAGAGATTCACTTCTAAAGTTTGTTGAAGAGAAAAATGGTGGCTTTGTACTAGGTATTTTCTTAGATTTCTCTTAACTATTCTATATCCTAGAGTATTTTAAAGAGAAGATGTAAAAGTCATTCATTTATTTACCTATTTATTTCAAGATGGTTTATGTTTCTTACCATTCGAATTTATAAAGGTATTGGCAAAGCATTTCAGGTATGCTAGGATCAGAAGAAGACTCTGAAATTGTACAAGATTCATGTTTTGCCAGGTTTTTGTGACTGGGTGTTAAAACTGTAAAAGAGAGAACCTTTGGAATCTACAAATTAATGTAAAGGTTTAAATATTTATAAATTCTCTTATAGAAAACAGAGCATAACTGTTCCAAAATCTATATCTTTATACTCCTTAAATGAACCCAAAGGCTCCTGTTGGGAGCTATATAATGACTTTTTGAAGGATAAGATGTATGTCAGTAAAAAGATTTATTTTAATGGGTCTTTTGGACATTTTAACAGAATAGCTTTTAGGTTATTCTCAGTAACCTAGTATTTAAAATAAGATCTATACTTCTGAATTGTCTGATTAGCATCAGATCATTTTCAATTTTTCTCTAATATTTGCCTTTCATTATTATAGCAAATGTTTTCTTGAAGATGGTTTACTCATAAGCTATTAAAAAAATCTTAATTCGTTCTTTATAAATATGTGTGTTTAGTAGTGTATGATATCTTAATGATAGAATGATGCTTAAAGTAGTGATTAAATGATCAATATAAGAGGAAGTAAAAGAATGTTATCTCCATTTGCAAAGCAAATTCTCCTATTAACATTTATCTTTTTTATATATTTTTCTTATGTTATTGTATTACTTATGTTCACTTATATTTATTTATTTTATTATTTATTTACATAATTGTGTAAGTGAGCTCATGCTGCTTTTTAATGGGTAAGTTAGGATGTCCTCAATATTACCCTCACTTCTGATACTATTTGCAAGTTCAGGGATCCCCAAGACTAATGTTAGTTTGGATAATTTGTTAAGCAGACTTAACTTGGGGCCGGCAGTTGGCATGGTGTTTAAGGGCACTGGACTCCCACATGGCCAACTGTGGTTCAAGTCCTGGACCTGGTGGCTTGCTTTCTCACTTTTCCTCTCTCTCTCTCTCTCTCTCTCTCTCTCTCTCTCTCTTATTCTAATATTACCCTCACTTCTGATACTATTTGCAAGTTCAGGGATCCCCAAGACTAATGTTAGTTTGGATAATTTGTTAAGCAGACTTAACTTGGGGCCGGCAGTTGGCATGGTGTTTAAGGGCACTGGACTCCCACATGGCCAACTGTGGTTCAAGTCCTGGACCTGGTGGCTTGCTTTCTCACTTTTCCTCTCTCTCTCTCTCTCTCTCTCTCTCTCTCTCTCTCTTATTCTACCCTTTCTGGTCAAATAAATAAAGTAAAACTTCTCATGAATTTGCCTTCACTTAAAAAAAAAATAGACAACTCACCAAAGCCGTTTTACTTATGATTATGTCTTATTACAGTAAGATAGTATGTTAAAATTCCTTTTTCAAAGGAAAAAGCGCATGGGCTGAATCCAGGAAAGTAACAAGTTCCCCTATTCTTGCCAGTGGAGATACAGGCACTACTACCTTCCCCCAGCAGATACCTGAGTGCTCAGAGAGTCTTGACAAGCAGGGATGTTCACTGGAGCCTTGATTTTCTGACTTTTTACCGGAACTTGGACGTGGTTGAACTCCCCTTTTCCCTGCATGACTGACCTTAGTTTTCAGCTCCTCCAAAGATAGAACTGATATTGTATGACCCAATACCCTCAGGTAACCGTAGGTAATTTTACCAGGCAGGATATTCCGAGGACTTGGAGAGTTCTCCCTGTATCACACTGTTTTCCATACATTTTCTCTTCATTTTATTCTTTTAAAATAATTTAAATTATGTTGTTATGCTCTATATTATACATGTGATACATATGAGAGGTTTATAAATGCAATGCCATACTTTAATAAACGCCCATAGCTAAAGAAACATATTACCTCTAATTTGGTGACACATATGATCCTCTCCAATTTTAATAGAAGGAACCTTGCCTTTGAATCTTAGGTTAAATATTCCCTTTCTTTTCTTTATACTTTTACAAATCATGTACATGTTCTTTTTTTTTTTCTTTTAAGAATTATTTATTTATTTATTTTAATTTGACATGAGAGGAACAGAATGAGAGGAAGAGAGAAAGTGAGAAGCAAGCCATCAGGTCTGAGACTCCAACCAAGGTTGGCCATGTGGGAGTCCAGTGCGTTAACCACCATGCCACCTGCCGACCCCTTAAACCATGTACATGTTCTTAAACAATAAATTCAGTTTTGACTGGTTTTGTATTTTACATAAATGAAAACAAATCATATTAAGAATTTGGCTATAATATTTTTGTTTCAGACAAAAATCTGTTGATTTGTATCTTTCTATACTGGAAAATTCTCAGCATCTACTCTTAAATATTCTTTCCTATTCCATTTCTGATTGAATGATTTCTTTCTTTCTTTCATTCGTTCATTCATTCGTAGAGAGATTTTTGCTATAGAGTGTATGCACTCATTGGAGCAAGAGAGACAGAGACAGAAAGTAAGAAATCATCCCCCGGGGGCCAGCCACACTGCAATCCCTTCTCCTACATTTTCCTCTTGGGATCTTGGGCACACTTGCACATGTGCCTGGCATGGGTTTTAAGCCACATGGTCAGGACCCACACTATGGGCGACCATTACGCCATCTG